TCGTGCTGTTGATCATCGTGTTCCTGGTTATGGTATTATGGACCGGTGCGCGCACAAAGAGAGAGGAGGAGAAGAGCGTGGACGGCCGATTGATTGTCGAGGTTTTGGATAGTTTGTTGGGGGTGCGAGTTGAGAACGCGTCGTCCACCACCGTCAGAGGAGTACGTACGTTGGAGGAGGAGGAGGAGGAGGAGAGCTTCAATAACGAAGGTAAGGATTTTTTTTTTTTTTTTTTGTCTCTTTTCGTTTCGTTAGAATGATATATATGATGTAATTAAATATCTTAAATATAGTATATTCTATAAGATAATCTTAAGAGGATTAGCGGATAGAGTGGAACGTATAAAAAGTTTAATATATGACCATTTTTATCTTTCTTTATTTCGATGCGGGAAGATGTTGAACGAGAGTTATGTTCGATTTTATTGCGGCTCGATGGGATTCGATCTTCGAAAGGTCAATCGTTTTGCGTGGAAACGATTGATGGATATAGTGTCGTTTACGATGCCTGGCCATTAATCTTTTTTAGATCGTTGAAGAGTTTAATCTATTAAATTCCGTAAAGTAATATTCCGTTCACGGAAATATATTCTAACAGAAGGGTCGAAGATAGCGGTTTTATATTTCCTTCGTTTCAAATTCGTTAAAATTCTATCTCCTAGTATTAATACTGTTTATCCTAATAAATTTATCGATCAAATCCATTTAAATTCCAACAATACGATATCTCTCTTCCAATCTTAACCTCTCTCTCTCTCTCTCTCTCTCTCTCTCTCGCTCTCTCTCTCTCTCTCTCTCTCTCTCTCTCTCTCTCTCTCTCTCTCTCTCTCTCTCGTCCGAGTTGAATTCTTACGAGGCCGCGAGACACAAAATTTCAATTTCGCGCTAATTCTTTATCGTCCAACCTCGCCACGATAAATCATTATAACGTATTATCTATTCATAAGCTGAGAGTGGCGTGACAAGAGAGGTCGCCGGCACAATTGACAAATTGGATACACGTTGGTTGGCCGGTTTTATCGATTATTCGATGGAATGTCTCTGAACCGTTGTTCCCAAACCCGTGATCCGTGGTATTCGTCAGCGCAGAAACGCGTTGTGAAAGATCCGTTAACGCGTTTAGTCCCAGTCCCAAGGTGTGCAACACGGCTCTCAGGGAAAGCTAGGAACGTCCAGACGTCCTTGTAAGGCCGCTGCTCCAAAGCACCCACACCTACACCAACACCCACACGTATGCCCCGTATCCTCTCCTCGTTGCACGGACCTTTATTCGCATCACTCGCAGCCGTGTGCATGCTCATATTCCTTCTACCAACCCAACCTGCCCGCCTAGAGTACTACTCGCGTTGCTCGAAACTTCTCCACCCTCCCCTCGCCTCTTACGTGCACCTGATGATACTTCGACGAATCGTGGTCAGCATTCCTCGGAGGCCGAAATGAAAAATCACCGGTCGAGGGATCTCCCTTGGAATTAAAAACAGATTTTCAGGATTTGTTCTTTTATTCCCGTTTTCTCTTCCTTTTGATCGAGGATGATGAGGATTCGAGGAAGGATAGGATCCGCGTAGGAAGAGAATTTTTTTTTTTTTTTTTCTAATACGTGGAATTGCTCGAATTGCTCGAAGAATTTGAGATTAATTTGAGAGATTCGTTTCTTTTCTTTTCTTTTCTTTTCTTTTTTTTTTTTGAGAGAATGAGCGATTAAGGGTGTTTCGTGGGATTGGAGAGGGGTATAATTTCGTAGGTAGAAAAGGTGTTTTGAAGGATATTAATCGTTGTTTCGATGATCCAGATTTTATTTTTATTCTTATTTTCGGCTCGTGTTAGTACTTTCCTTACTTTCTCGCTTTCCTTCACTTAGCGAGTACTTACTAATTCCCTAAACTGAAACCCATTTCTCTAAATAAAGCAAGAACTTTGAAATTTCTCGATTCAAGCTCGTTAGTACCTTTCCTTTCTTCCGCTCACCACAAATATCCAAAAAATCTCACTTCATTTCTTGATCCACGTTCGCCAACACTTTCCTTCTTCCTATCTTATTCGCGCACAATTTCATAAATAAACCAATCGTGTCTAAAAATCTCTCAAAATCACGCGCGAAATCCAGCAAACGACTTCATCCCCTCCCCTAATTATTCCCTCGCAAGCATACCTTCCATTAGTATCCATAACGTTCAACCTTAAACCTCCCAATCGGCCAGATCCGCACAGCTATAACACTAATTTCCCGTTGTTTATTAGTCTCTCCGTTATCTCTTCCTCGATCCTCCACCTCGATCATTAACGAGGTGGCTAATTGCGCCGTGGCCATGGATTATTTCGCGGACCTTCTCGTCTCTCCCCCTCCGTCCATTTGTCCGTGTCATGCATCCCTCTCCCTCCCCTTTTCTCCCCATTCCAAAGCTTCTCGATCATTTTCCTCCTTTCTCGCTTGGAAATATCCTCGCTGATTTTATCGTCGTTGATTTTCGATTTTCGCGAACGATAAAAGGAGGGGAGGGAGGGAGAATCGTAATTTATACCCGGTGCGATCGGTATCTCGGTTAATTGAAACGGAAATTAATACGAAACGAATAGGCCGCCGAAGGAAATTGCGACACGGCTCCTCTTCTTCCTTTCGCATCTTGCCAACGCGTCTCCTCTGGGATGAATAACGTAAGAAGGTTGTTAATTCGATAAAAGCGGTGGAATGAAGCGCGTGTCTTTTTTTCTTTCGATCGTTCTGTTAGAAATACAGTGAGAAAATATTAGTCAGAGGTTATGAGATAAATCTTGATTGCGGTATGGATTCTATAGAGTTTTAGGTTTTTGTAAAATATTTAAAAGTTGTACGTATTTAAAGTGAAAGTATGGGTACGTTTTGTTACATAAGAATTTATGATATTTAATTCAAAGTATTATATTACTGTATGCAGTTAACGAAAAGATGGTTTATGAAAGTATTAGAATTAAATTTGATTAATTTTTACACTTTTAAAATTATTTTTAATTCTCGAATATATAGTTATATCTTATTACTCCATCCAACACCGATGAATCATCAGTTTTACTATTGAGAAAGCATATATAATTTCTAATTTCAATATATAAAATCGAATTAAATTTTTTATTTCCTTGCTGCAATATGTAATAATTTTTCTAATTCCACGTATTATGTACAATATCTCGCGAGGAGTCAGGATTTTTCTTCGAAGGTAGTAAAAAAAAAAAAAAAAAGAA